CAGCATTCGGTCTGCAAGGTCTACACCACCCATGTTGTGGTTATAGGCTTGAACAACCTTGGGTCTTTCTATTTGAATATATCGTCGCTCTGATTTTTGCCATCTGGCACATGTATCTGTTGGGTCTTTAGCGTACATCGTTGATAACATAGCAACTCCTTTATTATCGTACCATTTTGTTATGGCCATATTTTCTGAAGTGTTCACCAATACTTGACATGAACCGCGACCTTCTCTTTTCATTTCACGGTCTTCTTTAATCGTCTCTCTAGCTGCAATTGGGATCCTATTTTTCATTATCGTTCCGGTACATAGAATATCTCTTTCTTTCAGCTCTCATGCAAGCCTCGGGGTCATAAAGTAACGGTCGAAGTAAAGTTTGTGACCAGCAGACAAAAAATCGTCAACTAAATTCAACACGGCTTTCTCCCCTAAACCAAGGGTAGTATTATCATATCGAGGATATGTTGTTACTCCTTGATATACATCAAAATTGCATACTAATCCATTGGCATTTGTCAAAACAAAAACTTTAAGACCAGTAGGATTTGGCTTTCCTGGCATGAATTGTTTTATGCCACATTGTCCTGTAAAAGGAATGATCATCTCATCAATGCACATATTTTGGTCTTTTTGTTGTAATTTGCATGTTTTTAGAATAGTATCTAACAGTGGTCGTATTTTCCAAACTTTATCTTTGTCACGTTGTTCACGTCCAACATCGTCATCGAAAATAAACTTGATCGAATTTCTTAACAGAAAAAAACGGTTCCGGGACATACTGCTTGCTACTATTGGAACTCTGTACTTTTTCTCCCAGTGCATACGCAGTCTTGGTAATCCAATAGCACCCATAGCTAACGAGATGCCAATGTATACATACAGCTCTGACTCAGTCAAATTAAGACTCCTTCCAATATTTTTTACAAACGTTTGATTAGATTTCACTACAATTAAAGCAATCAACTCGTCATCCAAATATTGTTGAAAATAGTCTTGTTTGCTGTTAAATTGATTAGAATCAACTTCCATATATGCAGGCCGGAAAAATAGTATTTCTCGAGGAGGAAAATCAGAGGAAGTCCACGTGCGACGTTCGTGTAATTTTACATCCTCAGAAGAACCAGGCGCGTTAGAACCTCCACGACGACCTCTTGAAGAACGACAACGAGTAGATTTTCTCGACCCTCTACGACTTCTCGTAGAGGATCCACGAACGACACTTCTATTACGGGATGCAGAAAGATCTGACAAAGGGGTATCGTCGTCACTCGAGCTATCAGGTGACGTCGTACTTTCATTAGTCTCCGAAATTTCACGGAATGGTGCATCAAGTTCACATTGATTTTCTTAGTCACTATCTTCTCCAATTTCTGAATCACTGAGAGCAAGAACAATTTCATTCTCATTTAAACCTAAAACCAAAAAAAAAAACTAATGTAAGTGAATTTGTACATACAAAAAAATAAATACATACTGATCATAAAAACATGCAGCTAAAATAGACCATAGTACGTGAGGCCCGGAGTGGCACTAGCGGGACTATTTTTTTCGGACAGTCAGATTAACTACAAATACTGCTTTAAATATCAAATAAATAACTTGCAAAGAATAGTAATAAATGTTTTCTCAGTTTTAATCCAAAATTCTTCTGAAATACAGAGGATTACATTAATATAAGTGGATTTAACTAACCTCGACCTCGTGGAGTTGCCATCGTGCCAGTTCAAAGACAATGTGTCAATAGAAAACAAAAAAATCAGCCAATCTCCGATCACTAGTTGACAGCCATAGTTTTCGTTCAGAAATTTTTAGCAGTCACTTGTCAAAGGCGCCAAATTCGAAATCACTATGACGCAAAATTGAATAAGTCCCCTACACGACACCTTGGGTAGCTACGAGTATCTATATTTTTTTGGAGCTGGGCTTGAATGTCTATATCAATTAGTACCTTGGACGACCCCATGGGCCTTACGAGGATATAATAAAAATGATGATAACATGTGTCTCTTTCTGTACATTGTATATATATTTTGGTGGCTAAAATCATTATGATGAACTGAAAATAATTAAATAAGAACATTTTATAATTTTTAGAATTGTCTGTCTGTCTATTTGTCTGTTATTATATGAACGCATCACGTCTAAAGTAAACATCTTTTATTTTCAAAGAAATCGTTAAGAATATCATAAAGCGTATCTTCGAGTTACATTTAATCTTTGTTTTATTAAAATTGGTTAATTATATCGAAAGTAATGATTATTATTTTGAAATGTAGGTTCGAATTTGTTCAATGGCGCCATAAAATCTCAGAAATAGTAATAAAAAGATTTCTGTGTAAAAAAAACGTTCCATAATAATTAATATATTTATACTTAAAACACAAAAAGAGATAGGATGTTTTCTCACACAAAGGACGTAATAGATGGAGTTGTACAAATTACAAACTTTTCTGAATTGCAGTGTTGAGATTTTTCGCCGATGAATCGTATTGAGACTTACTGAAGAAATTTGTATCCAACGAAGCCATACAACGGAACCAGACCAAAAATAAAAATTTCGCAACTAAATGTCGCGATATCGTATTTATAATATACGCAAAATCAGAACTGCCATTTTAGCGCTTTGGGAACTAGATTTAGCACTTTTTTGGAATGTATAGCGCGCATTTCGAAATTTTAGCACCTAGCGCTTAATCCAGCGCTTTTTGGTGTATTTAGCACACATTTCAATATTTTAGCGACTAGCGGGTTATTAACTCTTTTATAGCAGCACTGTTAGTCCACATTACCGATAATAATAATAATGACCTTTATTATTTTTTCCCACAAATAGTACATTGCAGTTTATCTTTTTCAAACATATTTTTTCCACAAAACAAAGAGCATGGGAGACGAGTCCAAACTAGGATACCCTGTGCTATGGATCTCCTGGCTTCCCCTTTAGAATGATCAACTTGATTTTTTTACCGACGACTATAAGCGGGGAAATCCCCTTTATTAAAGTTTTCGTTCATGGTTTTGGCAACGCATTTATTATGCTTTATTCAGTTTCAGTCAGTTGCTTAGAGCACAGCTAAGTTAAAAGTTACTTAGAAGTTATAACACAAAGAAACTGTGTAGCAACCGCAATCAGATGCTGACATCTGAAACTAAGTTGCGAAATACATTGCACTTTAAAACAATTAATGACATTTTTATTGTTCGTACAGTACTAACTACTGTTGACAGCAATTGCTATAATTATAAGTCGATGTCCTGCGAAGTATTGATACATCAAAAAAATATTGCCAGAAAAAAAACTTAATGTTGTTTTCTTTATTATGATTATATCAAAAAACACAAACTTTGTTTGTAGTTAATTTAGCGCGAAATCTAGGGCTTTTTTAAAGCGCTGTTTTCATGAAATCTAGCGCTTTTTGTGTTGTCCTAGAGCTGAATGAGTTTTTTTTATCTGGCAGCACTGCCCAAAAACCCTCTATTAAGATGTAACTTTCCTTTCAGTTTTAAGCGCGTTCAGTTCCCAGTTACAGTGAATGTGTGTTATGCGATGACCGTAAATAAAGCGCAAGGTCAAACTTTACGCGTTGTAGGAGTGTACCTCAGTACTGACTGTTTTGCACATGGCCAACTCTATGTTGCTTTTTCCCGCGTTAGTAGCCCCCGTAACCTTTTTGTGTATACCCCGGCTAAGCCTACTTCTAACGTCGTTTACACAGAAGCTCTATCATAAACGACTTAGAACTTTGATGATAATGATTTATTTTGTTACCACTTATTGATACAGTAATGAAATAAATCGTTTAATATTCTCTTACCTAAACGACAAATTCTTTATGTAAAACCTGTATACGCGAGCTACGCCGCGGGCACAGCTAGTGTGTAATAAACTTTTTCTTTTCTTCATTCTTTCACCTACATTACTAAAAACGACAATATAACGCAATATGTCACCCGAGGTAATAATATAATATTATATTATATCAACAACTGATTATCAATTATTATTAAATAATAAAATCACACTTATGTCAAGATGTGGTTAAAAACAAGCACCATATCACATTGTTGCAACGTATTTAGTATTATCCTTTAAAACCCTTTAATTAGTCTAGCGGTTTGTGAATGAAGACGAATCTAACTACCTAGCACTTCATAACCGTTAAACCATTTATGATATGAAGGAAGGAGACACTTAGTGCAAGCATGCCTTCTTAGGTACAATACAGGCTGGCGAGTCAAAAGAGTTTTCATTTCATTATTAATTAATATTTTAAATATACGAAATTTACAAATTATTATCTGTAACGTTAAATTCATAACTTTACTCTTCATCTTAGGCTTGTGATTACATTTTATATCAATTATATCACTATTTAATGTATTTAAAATATATGCAATGCATAAGAATAATAGTTTGTATATTTGTTTTGCAAAATATTAATGCAAAGTATTAAAAATTACATATAAGTGGTCGCTGGGTAGACATTTATTTTTTAATTAGTTCAGATTTTAGACATTTTCGTGATTGTTTTGATGTTTTTATTACTAACAAGCTTTCTAACTTTCTAATAAAGATTAATTAATTTCTTCAGCTATATATTTTACTTGACGTTGAGACTGGATATCAGTTAAACGCAATCCAATGCAATTTTATTACCTGGATACTTGTTTTAACTACATAACAATGTTTCTTAACACCGAAATTAGCTCTGCACGAATCAATCTTAAATAAATATTAAAATGTTCATCGTACTCATTTTGTTCTACTCAGTGGCATAATAAGTCACGTAAGATGCTCACTCTCATTAAGCTATTGAATAAAAAAAATGATTGAAGTCGATGGATGCAGGTGGCTCAGGATCATGCGATGTGGCATTCCATGGCGAGGCCAATGTTCAGCAGTGGACTTGTCATGAAGATGATGATGAAGTGATATAGGATTTCCGACAAACCTATCAAAACTACGTTTTGTAATTGTCGATTCTTTCCTGTTTCAGGACGACTTCCTTCTCCGACACTACGACAAAGGGCCGTGCAAAAACAAGTTGGGTCATTCACGAGCTTCAGTGCTTTGGCATCGTGCTCAGGTAACCATCAAAATTATGCTATTGTTTATAGTATCTTTCTTCACGTCGTAATTAGCCCCCAGTTCACCTCTGATTATGAGCCTCTCCCATGGTAGGGAGGATGTGCCGTGATAGCCTAACTTGATAGAGGAAATCTCGATCATAGCACCAGATACAGTGGCTACTGAAATCTGTGGACACCTGCAGCCAACTTCAAACAAAAAAGGCTACAGATGCGTTGTCACCTCTGAGAGCTTAGATGGAATGCCTTGCAGTTTGTAATTAAAATGGCTCTCTATACCCTAACACCGGAACACAGCAGTGCAACCAATTTGCGGTAGAAATTGATAAGAGTTATTCCCTATCAAGTAAATTAGGTCATTAATATAAATTAAGAACAGGATGGGGCCAAGTATTGAGCCCTGCGGAACACTCATAGATACTACCGTTCCGGAAGAACTACTCACATTAATCACAACTGTTTGTGTTCTTTTATTTAAATATACTTACCCAGAGATATTCCTAGGCAGAAATGTAATCCTACCGCTTAAAATCAACCTTCTAACTTTCGAATATATGACGGAAATACTGGTGAACTTCACTTGTCTTCGAAATATTTTTTTTAAATTTCTCATTTAGTAGATCTTAACGTCGTTCTACGCTTCACAAGTACGTGAAAAGGTTTTTTTTAATTTCTCGAACATGTGGGTTTCCTCATAATGTTTCTTTATAGGCTCCATGACACAGAAGTATTCCTACTATAGGGGGTAGATTTTTTTTAAACTCAGGGGATAAACATTAGCCATAAAACGCCAGTACGTGAGCAACCCGCGTTCGATCCTAGCCGGGAAAAATGAATTTGTAAACTGCAGTTTTAAGTGCTAGTTTATCAGGAGCTCCGCGAATGAAACAAGCGTCAAAAACCTGCATTTTTATAGAATAAGGATAACAAACAAGCACAAAGCCCACCTGACATTAAGTGGATGTTGTGGCCCATAGACATCTACATATATCCTCGAATAAGAATCAAAATGCAGATGCGTTGTCACATGAGGACTAAGATGGAATGTCTTTTCCAGTAAAAAGGGTCTCTGGTTCTCTCTACACTCACGAAACATACGAAACACAGCAGCATTAAGCTGCTATTTTACGCTGGTATTCTGTGAGAGCGTGGTCCTTACCGGTCACGTCGACCCATTCGTGCTGCAACCATAATATAGCTGCAACATAGCTCTACCACATGTAGTTTATTATGCGATACTTGCAGGTGGTGGGCATCTTTGCCGGCTTCGGTCTTCTCCTGCTAGTGGCCAGCCCGCTGCTGCTGCTCGCCGCTCCCTGCATCGTCTGCTGCAAATGCAGGTAACCTTTCTAGTACTTTCTTAAACTTAATTTCGTCCGCGTGAAATTTATTACGATTGGATATCATTGGGTTTTAATTCTTTTTTGCGCGGAACTTTTTCTATTTTAATAAAATTAAAAGTAGGGTAAGTTACTCCTCATAACGTCAGCTATCTTCCAGTGAAAGTCCCGTCAAAATCGGTGCAGCCATTTCAGAACAAACAGACAGACGCACAAAAATTTTAAAAATTGTTTTATTGTTTTATTTATCGTGTATATTTTTATATTAATTTAGTAAAAAGCTGTTATTTTGACATTACAAACAGACGCTTCAATTTTATTTCTTTGTATAGATTTGTAGACTATTTGAATTTTAATAATTAATTAAAATACCAAATAAAACTTATTAGCCCTCCGAAGATTTCTTGGCATTATTTTTGTTGACTCTCTATAGTTTTTGAAGAGATATTGATTATTTATTATAAGCATAAATTCCTAAATAATATACTATATGTGCCTTTGAAAGCTTGTTTACATTATTTATCTTATCTTAGTGGCCTTGCTAGACATTATAACAAAACCAATGTCATCATAAAATCCACACAATAAAATGATGATAGTGACGTGACGTCTCAACGTGTAAATCTATATATTATAATCAGTTAACTCATATTATTTGTTTTCAGGCTCTGCAATCCAAATACGAAAAATTTAGAAGAGGTGGACGAAATCGAAAGCATCAGTCCCGGCCGAGAAGAAGAAGGTGACGAAATAACACGCGCTAGGTATTTGTCCGACTGACGTAGGACGAGATATTAAACGACAATGGACTCTGACGAATTGGGATAAAACCCAAATTGGAATGGACGTAATAGGGAAGAGAAAGAACTTGCATATTCACAAATTTGAGACATGTGAGACCAACGACAGAAACTTTGATATAACTACAATAAGTGATTGTGGAAAATTACTTGTTTTAAATTACAGGATGTTGGTCAAACTAAATTGTTCTGTGTATTTTAGGAGTAAGAGACTAATTATTGATGTGTTTTGTCTGTTTAAGAAGTCGTGGCTTCTTTTAGTAAAAACTTCAACATATTGAACTATTTAAAACATTATATACGATAACGGATAATCCTGAGTCCGCACAAACACCTGGACTTAGCTGGTACAAACCGTTTATGACTTCAGTGTTATTGTACAATAGACTTTATGTGGTATAAATACGATTTAATTCTGTGTGACAAATTATGACGTAATTTAACATGGTAAAATATTTAAGTAAAACTGCGTACAAACATCCCAAGCATCTGTGTTTCATTGTCAGTTTCAAACTTACAAAGAGCTAGTATTGCAGATTAATTATTAGATAATATAGAATGAAACTAAATCTACGAATATATTGGTATTTAAAAAAATTATGAACGAATACAAAAGGTCGATGCTGTCACCACGCATTTAATATTTTTGGATAAGCATTTTCAGTTAAAATGACAAATTCGATAAAATCTTACACTTTATGCCATCACTATACATAGATAATTAGGCAGCTTTTATTTTTCTGTTAATTTATTAATTATTAATAATTAATTTAGATTGTAAACCAATGATTTCTGCGCCTTTTCAGTGTGTCTACAATTCAAATATTATCTATAGGTAGTAGGTACTTACAAAAAAAAGAGAAAAAACTGTTTAGTATGATTTGTTGTGACAATACTTAATCTTAGACACAATTCGTAATATCTTGTATATTACGACTACTTGTGTCTAAGATCAAAACTATGAATATTTGTAACAAACACTGACTTCATAGTTAACCTACATCTACTTTATTGTATTCGAAGACTTCCGATAAAATTAATAAGATAATAATGATGAAAGTAAATATGTATGTGTAATTGCAAAGGCTTTTAATTTTTTAATAGATTGAAACATCGAAAGATTACGTTGTAGATATGTTGAAAAAAATATATTTGACTGATATTTTTCGTAAAATTTGAGACTGAAGAATGAAAAAGCGGCAAGTGCCAAGAATGCTTTTTTAGTTTAGTAAAATTGAGCAAAAGTAATTTAATTTTGATGGACGAATATCTATGTATTTTCAACAGTTTCATTCGTTATGTTCGGAGTTAGCTTACTAATGCTTCTAAAAAGGAAGGAATGCTTTTAAATAACTTAATGTTAGTACTTCATAAATTAGTCGTACGAGTGTAAAGAGGAAGAATTCTGACAGTTCATATTATATATTTTTATAAAAAAAAAATACACTGTTTGGAGAGTACAGATTAAATATATTTTTAGTTTTAAATTTGTTTTTTTTTTTGTAATGGCAGATGGTTGTAATGGAGTTTGTCTTGATTCAATAAAACATCTTATTACTTATGTTAAATCTTAAAGTGGCAACTGAAAGAAAAGAAAATAAATTAAAAGCTACATCCTTGTACTCGTATGATGGGACTTCATATTTATTTGAAATCCTATCAATTAAAACAAATAGAAGCAACTTTAAAAAAAAGTTACTTAAACACTAATAATGGTAACCCCGTTTACCACTATCTGCTTTATTTAATAATTATAGGGAAAAATATTTACGAATATAGTAACTGCAATGCAGTGGGAGTTGAGTTATATATTTATATTGTACGTTTTTTTTTTCAATCACCTGTGATGGCTGAACTAATGTAATGGTAACGAAATCTTATTGCATCGGCTTCTATTGTTTTCGGATGTGGACAAGCAGAGCCTTAAGCAAGTTATTTATTAGTAGATCATTAATATTTATGATTAATTGTAAATAAGGTTTAATATTGTACTTAATAGATATGGATTGATGGTGCACTCAACTCTATAATATTTCAAGTTTAATTCTTTTGCTTTATTTTTATCTTGCAACATTATTGCTGTTGACACTATCCCGTTAGACTAACTGATGATTGTTTTAATGATCTCAAATAGCTTGGTCTAATTTTTGTTATTATAGTTTTATCTTGGCTTGACTTTATTATCGTTTATTATTACGTTTGCGACATAAAAGGGACAGTGTAAAATATTTTATTCTTAAAATGGTTATTTACAAAATAAATTTACATTAGATATAAGAAAAATAAAGAGATTCTCATACAAACACTGTCACATATTATTTTTACGATATTCCTTGATTCCGAAGTGGCAATGCACTGTCGATCCTATATAGCTTGTTGTAGCAAGCTAGTTAAAGCATTTGTAGACTTAATTCAAAAATTGTTAGATGTTTAGACTGTAAGTTAAACTGTATGTCGTCCTTAAGTTGTCATTTTCACGTACGAATATATTCGCACCGATTATAATGTAATTAGATTTTTTTTAAAGTTAGACATGAACTCCGTGACGGTTTCACAGAGTGGAAATTTAAAATTGAATGTAACCCATACATAAATCTAAAGCAAAATGAAATATTTAAAATATTACAGTTCATAATGATTTGTTGACAAGTTTCTATATGTTATCCTTTAATGCCTTTTAATCTGATGTCGGGATTATGTCTAACTTATGAGTCAATGTTGTAAATACTAAAATGGAATTTATTTTTTGTTATTGATTATTTTTCTTGTTTGTTTTGTGTTTAAATGACATAACTTTCCGTTGCTTTAATTATAAAAACTAAAATAAAGTTTTTTTTGGATAAATCTCAAAAGTCTTTTTAACTTTATTACAACACATTCAATCTGTGGTTGTTCAATATTGTTACATCTTTTATACAAGTACATACCACATTCTACGTACATTCACGATTCTATATGACCTCAGCCACAAAGACTATAAAAATAATAGGAAAAAAGATAGGTTATGGGAAGTGAAGAAGAATCGAACAAAATACGGAAACACCGTTTATTTCGTTCGATTCTTGATAAAACTTGGTTACAGCATTCTTCCGGCATACGATATAATATATACATAAAATATTTTTGATACGGGATCCCAGATGTTTAGGCCAAATCGTAACACTTAAAACTTGCATTCCAACGCTCGTCTCGGCGATTAACCGGTTTGACGGCTTGGGCCGGCGGGACTCGTTTTGCGGACGGCTCGAGCCGGGTTAGCACCACGACCTCACAGAATACCGGCGTGAAGTGGAAGCTCTGTTTCCGCGCTTCGTCTGGTGAGTGCTGGTGACCGGAAGCCCAATCCCCCCCCCCCCATCAACATGGTAGCAGAATTACATGATAGACTACCCCAGGATGGTACCAGCACCCCTGGAGAATCCCTCGCTGAGCATCCACGACCTTGCTATTCCACTCCTGAGCGTGGCTGCTCAGGCTGCCCCCCGTATTCTGGGGGGGGGGGGGGGGGGGGGGGCAAAATTCCGCTCAATACAATAACTGCTCGGGGCAAACTGAGCAACATGACCAAGGCGACCCCTGCCACGCTATCCGTGAATTTCTGCAATATCAGGGGACTTCACTCGAACCTAAACGCCGTCCACTACCATCTCGAGACGGCGAAGCCGGCCTTGCTCTTTCTGACCGAGACACAGATGTCCTCTCCGGCTGATACTTCGTATCTCTCCTACCCGGGGTAAAAATTAGAGCACTCCTTTGTGCCTCGGGCTGCAGTTTGCGTATACATCAGAGAGGACATCTGTTCTCGACGCCTCGGCAGTCTTGAAGGTTCGGACCTGTCCATTCTTTGGCTACGCGTAGACAGCGACGACCATCCGCGCGTCTACGGGTGCCTCTATAGGTCCCATAGCGGTAATGCCGAAACAGACCGACTCATCGACCACGTCCAAATAGCTACAGATTCCTTGCTACAACAGGTACCATCCGCAGAGATCGTGATCCTTGGCGATTTTAACGCCCACCACGCCGAATGGCTCGGTTCACGTTTAACCGATCATGCGGGGAGATCTGTTCATGACTTTGCCTTGGCATATGGTCTGACAGAACACAGGTTACATCGCCTACGCGTATTCCAGATGTTGAGGTTCATACACCTTCCCTGTTGGACCTTCTGCTGATCTCTCATCCGGACGGATATCAGGTTTCCGTCGATGCCCCTCTCGGCTCTTCGGACCATTGTCTGATCCGGAGTGTGGTGCCACTCACGCTGCTGATCTCTCATCCGGACGGATATCAGGTTTCCGTCGATGCCCCTCTCGGCTCTTCGGACCATTGTCTGATCCGGAGTGTGGTGCCACTCACGCTCCCCTCGCGGTTGCGTTCTGCAGGTTGCCGCCGTGTTTGGCATTACAGGTCGGCGGATTGGGACGGAATGCGGTCTTTCTTTGCTTCCTACCCATGGGGGCGGGTTTGCTTCTCGCCGGATGATCCCAGCGCTGTTGCTGACTCTGTCACTGATGTGGTGCTACAGGGAATGGAACTATTTATTCCATCATCTGTGGTACCCATCGGAGGCAGATATCAGCCTTGGTTTGGTCGCTCCTGTAACACTGCATTACGCAGTAAGCAGGAGTGTTATCAAGCTTGGGCTGCCGCTTCCGCGACTCGAGATGTAATGTTGAGGTGTTTACACCAGCATACTTAAAAAGAAGTATAACTTCGCCTCCAGGTCCTTCAAAAGAGTTATTGCCAAGACAAAGTCAGAGCACATAGGCAGAATTGCCGAGAAACTAGTTCGCCTTCCTTCGGGAACTCGTGTATTCTGGTCCCTCGCCAAGGCTGTCCAAGGGAATTTCTGTAAGCCATCACTACCATCTCTGCACAGGGAGGGCGACTCACTGGCCCACGACGCAAAAGAGAAAGCCGACCTTTTAGGCTCCCTTTTTGCGTCCAACTCGACTGGTTATGACGGGGGTTCCCCCCGCCGACTATCCCGCGGTGTGAGTGCTCCATGCCGAATGTGTGGTTCTCACAGCGCTCGGTTCGCAGAGCACTTCTCTCCCTGCACATCCACAAGTCGAATGGGCCTGACGGAATCCCCCTAATTGTTCTGAGGACGTGTGCTCCGGAGTTGGCACCGGTTCTATCGCGTCTTTTCCGGTACTTCTACTCCCTAGGCGTAGTCCCGAAATCATGGAAGACAGATTTTGTCCACCCGATCCCTAAAAAAGGCGACCGCTCAGACCCGGCCAACTACAGGCCTATCGCCATCGCCCCCTTGTTCTCCAAAATAATGGAATCCGTTATAAACTGCCACCTCATGCGGTACCTTGAGGATCACCAGCTGATTAGTGACCGCCAATACGGTTTTCGTCAGGGTCGATCAGCTGGTGATCTTCTGGTCTACTTAACTCATAGATGGGCGGAGGCAGTAGAGTCCAAGGGGGAGGCATTGGCCGTTAGTTTGGACATTGCGAAGGCTTTCGATCGGGTTTGGCACAAAGCGCTTCTTTCGAAGCTCCCTTCATATGGGCTTCCCGAGAAATTATGCAATTGGACACTAGCTTTCTTACAGGTCGGAGCATCAAGGTCGTTGTAGACGGTACATGCTCCGACTACAAGCCTATTAACGCTGGTGTTCCACAAGGCTGTGTGCTATCACCAGCGCTGTTTCTTCTGCATATCAATGATATGTTGCAAACCGGTAGCATTCATTGTTATGCAGATGACAGCACTGGTGATGCTCTATACACCGGCCGTGCCAATATTTCTCGGGAAAACGTCGCCGAGTACCGGAACAAACTTGTGTCTGAAGTCGAGTCTTTGCTGGACAAAGTCTCAGATTGACTAAATCTAGTCCAGTTTAATCCTCAGAAGACACAAGTTTGCGCGTTTACCGCCAACTTTACAAGGCGCAGGTTCGGTCTGCAACTTTACAAGGCGCAGGTTCGGCCTCATATGGAATACTGTTCCCATCTCTGGGCAGGGGCTCCCCAGTGCCAGCTCCTTCCACTTGATCGCATCCAGCGCAGAGCGGCTCGAATCGTCAACGACCGAGTCCTTTCCGATCGGCTCGACTCATTGGCGCTGCGAAGAGATTTAGCATCTCTTTGCATTTTCTTTCGCATTTACCACGGGGAGTGCTTTGAGGAATTGTTCGGATTAATCCCAGCTGCCAAATTTCACGAACGCACATCGCGACAGAACTTCCGATACGATCCACACCATCTGGATGATTGGCGGTCCACCACTGTGCGATTTAGAAGATGTTTTCTTCCTCGCACGACTTTCTTGTGGAATCGATTACCATCAGCGATTTTTCCGGACCGATACGACTTAGGGACCTTCAAGAAAAGAGCCTACTCCTTTTTAAAAGGCCGGCAACGCATCTGCAATTCTCTGGTGTTGTGGTTGTTCATGGGCGGCGGTAGTCACTTACCATCAAGTGAGCCGAATGCTCGTTTGCCCCCTCTCCTTAAAAAAAAATAACGAGGCTTTCCTTGAGTTTTGTGTGATTAATTTAACTTCAATTACCATTAATTTGCGTCGACGAGTTGCTTGTGTGGTATTTTAATATCGTACGAAGGAACCTTTGCTTTGTCGGGTGGAACGCTAAAACTTTGTGACCCGAAAGAAGGTCGCGTTCGTATTCGATTATAATTTTGTGTGACATTAGACTTGAGTTCAGATAACGGTGAACGCCCACTGGAGTGATTGAACATTGCGCAACAGAGCAGCGCATGTGGGTTTGCTGGCCGATTACATCGGTGACGTTAGGTTACATTACACACCTTTCTTACACCACTTACACGCACCACTACTTGCCCTTGACGGTACCTTGTGGTCGACCCTACCTCCGGAACTTGGTAAGTTGTGTTTGCTTAACCAGCCATTACATAATAATTATCCATAGGCCATTCGGGCCCGAACTCTCTTGTTGCTTGTCGAGTGTGTTACTCATGGGCTCTAGCACAGTCGACTTCTGTCGGGGCAAACGAGGGCCGTAACACCAGATGTGGACCCTACGCGGATTCCAGATGTTGAGGATCATACACCTTCCCTGTTGGACCTTCTGCTGACCTCTCATCCGGACAGATATCAGATCTCCGTCGATGCCCCTCTGGGCTCTTCGGACCATTGTCTGATCCGTAGTACAGTGCCACTCACGCTCCCATCGCAGTTGCGATCTGCAGCTTGCCGCCGTGTTTGGCACTAAAGGTCGGCCGATTGGAACGGGATGCGGTCTTTTTTTGCGTCCTACCCTTGAGGGCGGGTTTGCTTCTCGCCGGAACATCGCAGCGTTGTTGCTGATTCTGTTGCTGATGTGATGTGGTACTTCAGTGTATGAAACTTTTTATTCCTTGCTCTGTGGTGCCCATCGAAAGCAGATCCCAGCCATGGTTCGGTCGCTCCTGTAAAATAGCATCACGCTATAAGCAGGAGTGTTACCGGGCCCGGGCAGACACATCAATGTCAACGATATAAACACCAGCGCTCTTAAAAAGAAGTATGATTCCGCCTCCAGGTCCTTCAAAAGCGTCATTGCCAAGGCAAGGTCTGAGCACATTGGCAGAATTGGCGAGAAACTAGTTCGCCTTCCTTCGGGAACCCGTGCATTCTGGTCTCTCGCCAAGGCTCTCCAAGGGAACTTCTGTTAGCCATCTCTTCCATCTCTGCACAGAGAGGACGACTCACACAAAGGAGAAAGCCGATCTGTTATGCTCTCTCTTTACGTTCCACTCGACTCTAGATGACGGGGGCAATACACCCCCAACCATCCCGCGGTGTGAGTGCTCCATGCCGAATGTGCTGTTTACCCAGCGCTCGGTTCGCAAAGCACTCTTCTCCCTG